GTAGTAGTAGTAGTAGTAGTAGTAGTAGTAATAGTAGTAGTAGTAGTAGTAGTAGTAGTAGTAGTGGTAGTAGTGGTAGTAGCAATAATAACAGTACAACCTGCAGCCTAGAGAATAACGCATAGCAGCCGCCCGCTTTCTTCGAGCGAATAACAAAGAATGTTTGCAATGGAGCATTTTTTTGTGGGGGGGTATGCGTCGGGTATGCTTCGGGGGTATGATTCGGGGTATGCTTCGCCCAAGTTCCAACATTCCTCTTATCTAAGGCTTGGAGACCCTCATCTTGGAAACAGCCTTTACTTTATCAACGGTCGCAAAAATTGGACCAATTTCTCGGTCTTTCATTCCGCTATTTTGCAAGACTACTTGATCCAATCTTTACTAGGCACAGGTGTTCACTGTGCATCGTCATAAAAGGCTGTCACCTGAATCTTTGGAGAAGGGAGTGAAGCTGAAACTGAAACCCTGGCTAAATTTGCCACCGCTGTTCTGAATGTAGCCCTCGTCAAGGAAGCCTCACAAGGCCACAAGCTTGCGCAAGCCGTGCCTACCCACAACATGACAGGCTGGTTGGACGAAGCGTGCCTTGCAAATCTTCAAACGCACATGGTGCATGGAGGCCACCGGGACGTACTCCATGTCGGTCTCCTTGAAAACCTCGGGCCAAAGACCTCGCTTCACGGCCATCTTTGGGATGATGCCTGCGACCTTCAGTCTCATAGTCCGACACGGGCGAAAAGCCATCCAGTGCGATATTGATGAGGTGCTCAAGTGCATCATCCTGCGGAAATCAACAAGAAGTTAGGTGCGAACCTGCCTAACCACCCGACAGACACAAGCCAATACCTGCCCTAATTTGCCTGACCCAAGCGGTTGGCCATGCCCCTTGGGGTCCATGAGCATGTGAACATGTAGCCTGGCGGCACCTCCAAGACGATGATGATATTTTGATGTCGACCAGGTTGAGGTTGGCTGACCAACTTCAAGTGGTAGCCGTGCTCGGAGCTGATGAGAATGACCGAGGCTTCGAAAGCCTCTTTGGTTTCACGGATGATTTGAGCCAATGCCCTCTTGGCTGTCTTTGCTTCGCCAGTGTCTTCGTCATGGGGGAGTGCCAGGCTCGCTTCATCAATGATGATAGCGGCGTCGTTGCCCTTCCTATTGATGCCATCGACCAACTCGGACAAAACCAGTGCCTGGTCATCGTCGTCCAGGATTTCACCTAGGTTTGAACGGCCGCTGCTAGTGGCGCATCCACTGGCACCGTTCCAGCTCGCACAACCGCAAACACAGTCCCTACATGATCGGCAGCTGGCTGATGATCTGCGAGACTCGGGACCTTCGTACGCGAGGAAACTTTGTCGAACGTCAGCTGCGTGAAGATTTGTGGAGCGTGCGCTTGCTTGCTCGCAATTACTTGCCAGAGACATCGCGGCCTCGTAGAGATCTCTTGCAGGCATCTGCCGCACATGTTGACCAGCAGCTGGTCCTGTTTCCACCTGGCGCCTGTCTGACTTGTTGCACGACATGTGAGCAGACTAATGTCTTCCCGACGCTCTGGCCACCCAAGACCAAGGTGAGTTGACATCTTGCAAGACCGCATTCTCGCGTGCCTTCATGAAATCTCCGCGGTCCACTCTCTTGCGCTGTCTACTGGGCCCCCCATCATGAATTGCGTGGCCTTGTGCTCAACACTATTTAGGTGAGCGTCTGCATCCACCTGCTTCTCCTTCGCATCTTTTTCCAAAGATTGAAGGAGAAGACTGTTTATGACATCGGCGAAGAAGTAGCCATCCCACTTACGAGCATAGAACTCACAGCCCTCATTGTCCACCAGTCCATATTATGGCCAATGCTGATCTGCGCCCACATAAGGGAGCAGCATTTTCACTGCAATGCGCTAACCCCTTGAGTTTGACCCTCTCCTTGCGCAGCACACGCGTCTGGGTTATTGCCAGAAGGACGCATGGAGCAATGAACACGGTGCCGAAAACGGAGCAACCACGGAGCCATGGTGCCCCACATGTGCCAGAGCAACCAGGGTCAGCAGCGCTGTTGAGCGACGAGTACTTGGGCGCGCCATTGCACGGGTGTCTGGTTCCGTTGTAGCTGCTATACCTTAACATGGATGAGAATATCAACTGCCTCTATCAGAGGGCCAATACAATTCGTGAACGGCTGTAGCCGAACTGCAGAGCGTAAGCACTGCCGCCGCCGTCAAATCATACACGAGGGCACAGGAATTGCCAAAGCTTCACACACATGGCGGGCGCATCGTTTCATTGAAGAAGCAAATGGGCGATGTCGGCCCACAGCAGGAAGGCTTGAAGGTTCTGTATGCTTTTCTATGAGGGTTTAGGGTCTGACATCAGACCTCATTAGGATATTGAATATTTATGACTATAGAGTTAGACAATGTTTAGGTGGATTTGGTTTTGGACTGTGTGTTGGATCTTGGTTTTGGTTTTGGTGAGTTGTTTCCAGTCGGGGTTGTGTTGTGGATCTTTGCTTGGATTGTTGGATGTGCTTCGTGTATATTGCGGGGTTTGAAGGGCTGCTTTATTAGGCGGATTGAGAAACTGGGTAAATGCGCAGGGTGGGGGAGAGGATGTGAGGTCTGAGGTCAGCGCCTGCTTGCTGTAGAGCCCTGAAGCTCTAGCTATGTTTATTGGTTCTGCCTCATGTGATCAACTCGCTCGAAGCCGTGGAACTTCTGCATATGATCTTGGAGTGTTGGCCGCTCAAGCAGAAGTCGACGGAGGACGCCGGTGGCCTCCTGGAAACTTCGGTGCAACACTTTGTTATGGACTGTCATGTCGCTCTTACATGTTGCTATCAGCGTCTATTCTGTGATACTCTTCGGCCTGATAGAGCACCAGGGTTGTTGCAGACACTCTATGCTCCACCCTGCTCTCCCTGGTCAGCCCCAATACCCGTAGAAGGGCCCGCTAGCACGCAGTACTACTCCCATACACTCCTCGGCCAACCTGCCCACCAGTCGCAGACCGGATCTCAGCACTGGAGGAGCCGTGCCAAGGGTCCTCAGGTTTGCTGTTCCCGAACCTCGAGTTCGGGTCCCAACGTCAAACCCAGCAAGTACAAATCCAGCTACCGCCCTTCCACAAGCTGCTTTGCTCCCCACCGCCAGGGCTCGGAAGCATCGTTATGGCAAATGCCACGCTGCACTGAACGGCTGGCGGGGCCCCACCTGGAGGATGAGTTCAGAGACCGAGCTGATGCGGAGATACCACTGGACCCCTAGCAGCACGTGTACTACGAGGTACCTCACCAAACATGCAGCCGGCAAGTGCCCAAAGAACCCCGATGTTTGCAGAACAATGGCACCTTGCTGTTGGCAACTGACAACAAGGGCTTCAATCGCGAAGAGCACCGCCTCACAACACGGCGACTCCACAGTCTGTTCTTCCTTTCTACACTTGCTGCATAACTTCATAACGATGCATAACTAATCCGTTGCGATGGAATGTTGCGATTGGAACTTTGGTATGTTGTGGACGCTATGCTGCTCCACTTTGGCTTATGTCGCTTTGGTGCCGTCTCGTGTGGACATTCACCCCGACCAAAAAAATGTGCTATCATTTCTTCTTGTTGTTTGGGGTTACGGTTCCACGTCATTTCACGCCTGCGGTGCAACATCCTGGCTTAGTGAGCCTCCATCCAACAACTGTACAATTGCAACCGGCAAAAGCACAGGGTGGATCACCGCTGAACGTCCTTTATGGTTTGGACTTCGGGTTTGGAGCAGGGTGAAGGAGCGAAGGGTGGAGGTTTTCCAGCATGCCTTCTGGCCACAGCACAAAGGTGCCCAACCGTGCGCGCTTGCCCGACATTCTCAAAGCGAATGCGAGAAACTATCGAAGAAGACATGCTCACAAGGTCTACTGCATGCTTTGCTTCTCCCGCCTCCAAGAAGTCTCTCTTGGGATCTCGCTCCTCACGCATCGTCAGAAAAAAGGGTTCACTTCGAGTTTCGATGATCCTACGATGCCATGACATGACCTCGGAAATGGCAGTGCTGCATTGGCACACTGTTTGAAGAAAATCACTCGCATGATTCCTACTTCCACAACCGGCATGTGGTCTCTCCGCGTTAGTTTTTCCCCATCCCCACCCCCCAAACTCCTTTCCGCGGCTTCCTTCACCCAGCAGCGCGTGGTGCGATCGTGGAAGGCGTGGCTGTGGTCCTGGTGGGGTTCATTAACGCCTTCCCAAGTTCAAAGACCCAGCACTTCCAGCAAAGGGTTAGGCTCAGAAAGTCCAGATCTTCCCACACTCTCTCTCTCTCTCTCTCTCTCTCTCTCTCTCTCTCTCTCTCTGTCTCTCCCTCTCTCTCAAAACGGCCTCTTACCCACCACAGACCGCTTGCCAAAGCACATAGGGCCTTGGCGCGGGTAGTACCGCCTCAGCGACGATGGCGCAGCCGCATCGCTAATCTCTGGACCAGCACCAAGGTCCTGCTGGCGGTTAACAGCTCTAAGTCCAAGGACTCGAGGCCAAGACCAAAACCTTGACTCCAGGCCTGCATGATCCTGCATGGCCACGTTTAAGCATGATGCCCGACCCCTCTACGTAGGAAACTTGTAGACCCTCGAATCTAGCGGCGACTGATGGACAATAAAGTGGGAGCAGCTCAGAATTGCAAAATTCAGAAGCCAAAACCTTGTAACGCCAATTGTTCCCTGACTGCACCTGGAGAGCAGGTCCAGCCAAGGACTGCAAAGCCGTGAGCAACTCCTCGCAAGTCCGGGGACGTGGTTGTTGTTTCTTGTCTGACGGGTTGAGCTCGTGCGATCTCCTGCAGCTGGCAATTCCTTCCGCCCCTCCGGACTTGATAAAGACCCTGACGCAACCTTGAAGGCGCGCAGGCCTCAAGATGTGGCGTCGCACCGCCCATCGCCTGTAGGGTCGCACAGGAACGACGCTCGACTTACTTCGCTGCCAACCCCACGGACCAGTAGGCTTTCATGAATATCCTGGGTACTATACTCTGCGAGCGCGCACGAGGCCCGGTAGCACCTGGAAGATGGCACCCAAGCAGCGCGTTGCTCGCAGCGCATTGGGCAAATTTCCTGCACCGTTCAAACGTTTAACAGCCTTCCTATAGGGTAGAGCGACTCAGGGCTCTGATGCCCCTGGATGTGGCCAGGGGTCATTGCGACGTCTAAGATGGCACATTGCTCTGCACATTGCTCTTAAGCTGCTCTTTGTGAACAGTAACTGTACTGTCTTTCCAATGATGGCAATTCAGACCGGCAGTGCCGACATATTCGCACAGGTTACGTTCGCTTGTGCACGACGTTGAACGAGTGCGCTGAGGACAACGATGATGTTGTCCACAGCCTTTGAAACTGCGCAAATTGCATTATGAAATCCGCTGGAATGATATCGATCTTCACGGTGTGAGGTCGGAAGGTTGTGAGAGAACTTCCGCACCCTCACAAACAAAGGCTGCGAATCGGCATCAAATCCAGGGAGATCTGTAATGCAAACACTTACACCTTCTGCTGCTGCTTGAACCAAAGCAACCCAAAAAGAAGAAGCAGCTAGTTCATCCGAAAGGCTTCTCACCCCATCCTGTTTCGTTGATGCTCCTCTGGCTGCTTCCGCTAACACTGGTACCAGTCCTTCTCATAATTGTATCACAGGCACAACGGCGATGCTTCGACGGCCTCCTGTCAAGAGCGGTGCCAGTGATGCCACGGCAGCGGCGGCGGCAGGGGCAAATGCAGCACCCAATGCCTCGTAGAAACAAATCGCGCCGACTCCGGATGGCAGTAAGAAGAAGAATCACAACGGCAGCAGGTCCAGTGGGGCGTGCTTTGCCCACTAGCCTTGTCCGTAGTCTTGAAGTGAAGCTTCGAAACTGTTCAGGAATGATCGGATTAATCTTCAGGTTTGGACGAAGGCTCAGAAAGCTCAGGCTCGAGAGGCCAAGCCTTGGCCTGGGTTTCACGGTATGGAGGGGCCTGCACAAGAGTCACATCAGGCCACCCACGGTGCAGAAATCCATCAGTACAGCCGAAAGCCTGAAACGCCCAAACTCCTGCATCTCGACCCTGAAACCGCGAATGCCAACAAGCCTTGGCCACATCCCCAAGAGCGGCGAGGGATGCATGGCAGGCCTTGCGACACTGATTCGCCTTCTTGCAGCACTGCCTAATCATACTGTCTGTTTCATCTTCTACCGAGTCTGGTCCCTCAGCACAGTTGGAATCACTCGTTCCCGCACATGCGGCATGTGTTGCTTGTCTCTTCGATCCATGCGATGCTACTGGGGCCAGTAGACGAGATGCAACATTGCATCACACCACTAGAACACCTACACCTGCATGACTACATGCCATGCAAGAAACGTTTTGCAAGCTGCGGTGAACAGCTTTGCATGCGCACGACTGCGCACTTGGATCTCTGACATACGCAAAATCACTTGTTATGTCAGATATCCGCATGAAAATG